AACAAACATTTTGAATGCAAACTTTTCCCCTCAGGGTTACGACACATAAAACCGAATTTTGTGTGGACCCAGACGAGGCTTGGATAAAGGAAGTAATGGGGAAAATGCAATGGAAATGAAACACAATACATATGCACAAAATAATACTGTTACTGCATTATACAACAGTAATTTCTTCTTAAATGTTTTTTTTTTTGCTGTATCTCATCAATATTACAAGATATCTTTAAAAAAAACTGCTATGCTGACATGTGCAGGCTGACAATGCAAATTAATATTAAAATGCTTGGATATTAGCGGATATCAACATGCTGTTAGCATAAATACTCATAGAGAAAGGCAGCAATACTGAAATTAGCATATCATTTACACTTATACAGAAAAAAACAGACAAATTGTTTAAGGTTTTGGCTTGTTTTCAGTCCTATGTCTGGTGGTCAGTCTTCTTAAGTTTAGTGCTTTAATTAAACACATCTGAACCAGTTAATCAAGGTCTTTGGGTTTACTATAGGCTAAGTAAGGGGTCAAGGTTTTGCACCTAAGTTTTGGTGAAAGTAAAATTAAAATGATGATATTTTGATTTAGTGCATTTAGTGCTGACAGGTCTGAAAAAGAGAAGCCGTAGGCCATGTTTTTTTCCTGAAGTGCATTTTCAGTCAATTCTGAAAGAAATGTATTTTTCACATTCTCTTGCACAACAAGGGACAAGGGAAAGGAAGAAGAAAAACAATAAATACAACAGGCTTCCAGTTCTTTGTACTTGGACCCCTAATAATTATTATATCTCCAGAAATGGATTTACAAGAATGTCTTTTGATAAAAATTCTCTTTTATATAATAAAGTGCTCAGACATTATTGTTGTGTGTTTTTTCCCCCCACAGATTTGGCTCTCAGTTAACAACCATAAATGGTTTTATTTACTCTATTTGAGTTGTGAAATGCTGACTGTGTGGTGATATTTGTGTGGACAATACAAAGGTTAGTTTATTTTGGCACGTTCACATCAGATGGAGGTTAAAGAGCTTAAATGCGATCAAAGAGATTTAATGCACCGGCTTCATACCATCAGAGCAGCTGTGAAAGAGCGAAGAAGATTTTCTAAAATAACAAGATGCTCTAGCAATCGCTACATTGATTAGTACTGCTGTATTGTGTGTCTTCTATTGTGTGTCTTCTGTATTATGTAAATGCTTCTTAAAACAGGAACTCTGTGACCGTGTTTTCACCAAGTATGGCAGAATTAATTCTGGGCGTTTTCCTATTTTATGGAGACGGAGTCTTCTGAAGTGACATATGGCCTCGGCTGTGTCACTAATTTATAAAAATAAAAATAAATAAATAATGCAAATATTTATTTAATATATTTTAATGAAAAATAACATTTCGTAAGGAATATTTATGGCTGCTATTTTTTTTTTTTATTAATTCACCACTGGCAAATGTGGCAAAAACGAGAGTTTATTTTAGAGCTTGATTTCAGCATTTCAGTGATTTTGTTTTATTAATTACGTTCATTAATCAGTTTATGTTTTGTAGCTGAAATAACTTGTCTGCTGAAAACATGATAAATAATAAAATATTTCTTGAGCAGCAAATCAGCATATTAGAATGATTTCTGAAGATCATGACACTGAAGACTGGAGGAATGATGCTGAAAATACAGCTGCGCATCACAGAAATACATTACATTTTAACATATATTTACATAGGAAACAGTTATTTTAAATTGTAATAATATTTCAAAATGTTCAAATGTGATCAAATAAATGCAGGCTTGGTGAGCAGAAGATACTTCTTTAAAAATACTACTTTTCAAAAACGTTTGACTGGTAGTGTGTGCATGCGTGTGCGTGTGAGTGTGTGTGTGTGTGTGTGTGTGTGTGTGTGCGTGTGTGTGTGAGGGTGAGTGTGAGAGTGTGAGTGTGAGTGTGAGTGTGTGTGTGTGTGTGTGTGTGTGTGAGTGTGAGTGTGTTTGTGTGTGTGAGAGTATGAGAGTGTGCGTGTGCGCGCGTGTGAGAGTGTGTACGAGAGTGAGTGAGTGAGTGTGAGAGTGGGAGTGGGAGCGTGAGTGTGAGTGGGGGTGAGTGTGTG